TAAAATTCAATCATGGATTACAAGAAAAAAAACAAACATTTCAATCATGGATTGCAAAAAATTCGATCATGGATTACAAAAAATTCTATCATGGGTTACAAAAAAAAAAAAAAATTATGTTCTTCACAGAGCCGTTTTACATAAGCGATTTTAACTAAAAAATCCACCTCTAAATGAATAAATTACATCGAATTGAGTATATTTTCTGATAAACAACAATATAAGGAATCAAAACCCTAAATTTTTAACACATTATTTCTAATATATCATGAAAACAAAATCAAAAGGCGGAAAAAAAAAAAACAGTGGAATTTTGGTTCCGCAGACATCTCAGTGTTCATCTCAAATTTCATGCTGTAATTGACCAGATTACGTAAAATTGAAAATTTTAAATCATACTAGACACAATAAAGATTAAAAACCCTAATTATTGAACTCATTATGTTCAAAATATGCCGTGAAATAAATCAAATGGCGGAAAAAAAAACAAACCCAAACTTCTTACCTGATTTTGTGAACCGAAGCCTTCAATCTCCAAAAAACTCTATTTTTCTCGACGATTATCACAAATTAGTAACAAAATGTTTTGATTCACAGCTTTACGATCACAATGCCTACAAATTTTAAAAGATTCAAGCCCTATTTGGCATGAAACTTTCAGAAAAGGCGGAAACCCTAAACACCAAATTTTTCGTGATCCAAAAACACCAAATTTTTCAACCATTTAATCCTTGAAAAAGCTGAATAAAGCTGTTTACAGCCTGCAAATTAGATCACATGCCAAAAAAAATAAGAAAAATGATCAAAAAATGACAAATTTCAAAGAATCCCATGAAGAACACTGTGCAACCCGTGTTCTTTACGGACTCGCCGATTCCGCACAGTGACTCGGCTAGTCACTGTGCAGAATCGTCCGGTTCTCTCTAGAACCGGACGATTTCCGATTTTTTAGGCGATCCGGTCCCCTTTTCGCGATTTCCGAGTCCGGTTCGACTCGACGTTTTTTAAAACACTGATTTGGGTACATTGTAATATACTATCTAAACTACCATTTCACGCTAAAGTATTTCAAATCCACAAGATTGGTACATGTTTTCCATCTTCAAATTCTAAGTCAGTATTAAAAATTGAATTTCGAGCCATCATGGAAATTTTTTTATACCTAAAGTGTTCTTTATATAAAAATTTGAGATGAGGCTTTACTTTATTTTCAAAAAGCCTATGCCTCATAAAAACTATATAGTGACTCAAAAGATGGTACAAATCTTGTCAATTTGTGAATACCTATTTTTAGGGTAAAATGGACGATCTTGATAATGTGTGGTAATATGCATTACTTCTATGACTTGAAATCCATTTTCTTTTTCACAACATAATTCTCAAGGCCAAGATGATTGATTGCAAATTTCAACGAGTCTTGAGCTGAAGATTTACTTATTTTATTATGGTTGCAGCCATATAAAAAGATTTCCTTTTTCAAATGCGTGGAATGTATAAAAAAGATGCAGTCTCTATAAGGACTAGGACTCATAAAGAAATGTCTAGAAAACAATTCAGGCACAGGAATTCCCTAGCATGAGTCTAAAATATATATCCATTAACTCAAAAAATGTACAACTCCTATTGTATCTATGAGCACTTGAAAATATCCACTACTTATCATGAAATTTGTAACTCAAAAAATGTACAACTCCTATGTATCTATGAGCACTTGAAAATGAACAGTCTAGATAATGTATTACAATAAAAAATACTTTTTAAGCCTCAAAATCGTACTTTTTTTCACACCATAATGGCCAAGGTTGAGATTATCGATTTAAAAGGTTTCTCGAGGTTGGAACTATAATTTTCAATAAGTTTTGATGTTGATGTGAGGCTTTGTTTTTTTCATAAAGCCTTGGCTTTTTTTTCTATGAACACTCCTTGGAATTATCGATCCCTAAAGAGATTGGAATAGTAAAATCGAAAAAATGATTGTTTGTTTAGGCTTTTGTTTTAGAGAAATTTATGCGCATAGAATTTGTCAAAGTTTATTTTGCTATTTTTCAGATTTTTGTTAAAGCGATCAAATTGCCCATATTTCGAATCTTCAATATTCAGAAATAAAAATTTTAGTAATAGAATTGAAAATTTAAAATTTAAAATTTCGGGTCTTGAAATTTTGAATATTAAAAACACATCAGATTTTCAACTTTCATTTTTATTTTATTTTTGGAATTTTTGGATTTTGAAAATCTTAAATTGTGAATGTCCCCCTTTGATCCCAGATAGCAATTGTTGTGGTACCCAAAAAAAAATGGATTTTCAAAATTCAAAAATATTGGAATTTTTGGATGTTGAGTCCAAAATTCTCCGATCACGAATCTTTAAAAACTAGATAACGAGGAATGTCTATTCTGTAAGATTATCCCAAGAGAGAGTTTGAATATGCAATATTTGGATGTCTACATAAAGAGATGGAAGAGTAATGGGGAAATTAATATATGTCCAAGAACTCGGTAGTGAAACTTGAAAAATGAAAAAATATACTTATTTAAGGATAAATTAGTAAAAAGAAGAAAAATAGAACTCTCAACATGAGGTCAATGTTATGTAGAATGAGGTTAATGTTATGTAGAATAAGATAGGCTGAATTTATTAAAAAAGTGGGAAAAAAAGTTTTAGAAGAAATTAGAGGGAAAAGAAAATTTGATAAAAAAATTTGGTGATGAAGTTATAAAGAAACTGGAGGAAAAAAAAATTTGATAAGAAAACTATTGGTGAAACAAATTTTCTTTTTGGAAATTTTTAATGGAAAAGAGTCCATGCCCAATTGGCAGGGCCTAGGGGAGATTTTCTATGGTCGGAAAAAAAAAAAAATATTGATCATCAATGGGGAGCAAGAATGGTGTTTTGTATTTTTTAGTTTAGATTTTTGAAAGAGAGACAGATGGGAACAACAGAGAACCATTAGGGCTTCCTTTGTGGTCAAGAGGGATCATTGTATAGAGAGAGGGTTTTGTAGAACTGAGACTAGTGAAACCTACCTTTAAGGTTTTAGCTTGAGAAGAGGAGAAGAATCTTCCAATGGAGCTTCAATGGCTGAAATCCATTGATTTTAATGAGATTGTCCCACTCTCGCACTAGAATCATCTTTGATCGCTAGCAGGCCATTGCTAAAATGTAAGCCACACAATAAAAATCTCAGACCCCCAATAGCTCCCAAACCATAAACGCCATTGCTCTTGTCTCTGCAAATTCCAGGAATTTACACACTAGAGAGAGAGAGAGAGAGGGAGCGAGAATGGGAGGAGGGGAGGGGGTATAGATTCGAGTTGTAAATTCCAGAAATTTGCTCACTTTTTTCAATTCTTATATCTCTTTTCCTGTTCTTTTTTCTTTTTCGTTTTGGTGGGTTTGTTGTTCAAAACTTCATGCCCTTTCTCTTCCTCTCTGACTCTGGCACAATCAAGTTGCCATTGCAAATGTCAAATGAAGAGAGAAATAATTCTTAAACGTTAAAGTCACATGTTGCTTTATTATTTTGACTCTTCTAAGTAAAATATCAAGAAACCCCAGATCCAAGGGCTGATAGGGTGGATCCTATATAGCATCCCTTAAAAATACATCTTAGATAAGCATTGTAAATATTTGGGGCTCTTCATTTGTTGAATAGGGTAAGGTTGTAACAACTCTACTCATTTTTAGCTTCTTGTTTTGGCCACCAACTGCTCCCAAAAAGTGTTGCATGAATCTATAGGGTTTTTCTAAAGTAATACATAGGAAAAATACGATTATTTATTTGTTCACATGGTATCAGAACAATTTCTGTATGTATTTGTTTTCTTCTCTAGAAAGAAGAGCACTCTCGACATATGCGGTCGTTGCAGCACTTGTTATGTGGAGTTTTGGACTAGATCATGGAGCACCATGTTGTTCGTGGTTTTCGAAGGTTTTTTTTTTTCTATTGAGGTTGGTCTTTCTTGATCGCTTCTACTTAGTCTTTCTTAATCACTTTTACTTAGTAAGATCTTTAAGGTGTTTTGTTTCTTTTGGGTTTGGTCTCTTTCTTTTGAGAAATTTGGTATTTTATTCTCGCTAGTTTTCAGTCCGTCCAACACTTAGGTTTTTGACTTGTGGGTTCTCTTTGGGGGTTTATGTCTCGAGTTTTCAATCCATCATTCTCTTTGGATTCTCTTTACTTTGTTCTTTCTCTCATTGACATATTGGGTTGGGTTTTTGGGCATTTCTTCACTACAATCTTCGTGGTCTCTGTCTCTCTCTCTATTTTAGTGTGGCTGCTGGGCTACTCTCGTATAATACTTGCTCTTTGGTATAATCTCTCTGTGTGAGCGTGCGCTAGTTTTTTGGGTGGCTGCTAAGCTACTCTCATACAGGAGCTCTCATTGGGATACCTATACTAGTTTGTGATTGCTTATTGTGTACAATTGCTCTCTCTTGTGGGTCTTGGTTAGTGCTAGTTTTATGTACTAGCTTGTGGTGCCAGTTTGCTAGTTGGAGTTGCTAGTTCGTTGTGCACACTAGTACTTTGGATCTTGAAATTTTTTCTTCATATAAAACTAGAGATTAGTCTAACTATGGTTTTTTGGTTTGCTGGTTCTTGCTGAGTGCATCCTGGTTCGTGGTGCTTTTCAATGCATGTTTTATGCTTGACGATGTGGTTATTGTTTGGTTCCAATGGTTGTGG